TAGAGGTAAGTTTTGAACTGGTGACTTTAAGTTTTACATCCTCAATAAAAAAATGCCCCTTTTTGGATCTGCGTAATCTCTCTCACATTTTGAACAAACGATAATAATGCGTTAACTAATAAAACAAACAAGTAATAACAAGCAGTACGAAATGTTAACTCTGACGCGCCATAGTATGCAAGTACTGATATGTATCGACGGTAGTCGGCACGGGTTACTGTGGTTCTAGGTACATGAAATTTTATTTACATGTGTTTTAGCACCATTCGCATATAATTAGAGGGTATGCGTTAAAATAAAACGACTTTGATTTTTTTGGGACACCCTACTATCTATCATTGAATATATTTTGAAAATTTGAAAAGCGGTTCCAAAGATTACCCCCTACATACAAACTTACAAATTTGACCTCTTTATAATATTATAGAATAGATTTATTATAGGATTAAAATAAATAGCCGAAATAAAGTATTGTTGAACAGCGCATTCGGTACTAGACGTAGATTAATCGTATGTTTGCGTGGGGAAGTTTAAGCTGTCCATTTGTGCCTACAGCCATTTATATCGTTTTGTCTTTGTCGAAAAGAAAGCACATTCACTTGACGGCTTCCATTATATTGACTAAGACTCGTACTTATACTAGTCCAATACTTAGGATAGGTATACGCGTCAATTGCTTTTTTTTAGCCCGACACCAGGATTTTTTTCCTGTGTCGTGGGTTACAAACATATAACTTCACACACAGACCCGAACATCAATTTGCGGATCACACAAAGAGTTGTTCCTTTTCAGCTAGTTGTCTAGCCACCGCACCATGAAATTTGATAAGCTAGAGGACCCTGCTGCTTCGTTCCTCGGTGATTAGTTACAATTTCACAATTTACCTAAGCCTAATCAGGGTTTGAACGTTGGTTTGTAAGGAATCTTAAGTGGAAAAAGAATAATATTCGTCACCATTAGCAATCTTCTTACTTCTTATCAATATTATAATTGCGAAAGTTACGATGTTTAGATATTTGGATGTTTGTTACTCAATCACGCCAAAACGGCTGGACGGATAATATTTTGGCACAAGCATAGGATACACTCCGGAATAGGACATAGGCTACTTCTTTTTACCAACATACCACGCGGGCGAATACGCGCGTCGAAGCTGATCTTTTATAGATGATGAAGAAATACGCACACTGCTGAATTACGAAATAAAAAAATCAGGCCACGTTGCAAAAAGCGTTTCGGAGATGCATCTTGCCATTGTAGTTTTGTGTTTACGCCTTCAGGCAAAACACCACCTAAAGTAAAACAATAAATTCCCTACTATTTGCTCGTCAACCAAAACCTAATACTGAGCAAAGGCGTCTTTTAAAACGGAATTGGTTTCAGTTTTAATCACTATGCTGGGAAACTTATTACTTAAAATTTAAAGTGTGGGAGAGCCAAGCTTCGGCACGAATGGGTCGTCTCGACCGGAGTGATACCACGGTCTCACAGAATACCGGCGTGAAACAACCCACAGCGTTGTGTTTCGCCGTATGAGTGAGGTTACCGGAGGCCCAATCCCTCCCCTATCCCTTCCCGATCCTTATATCCCCAACCCCTATCCCCAAAAGGCCGGCAACGCACTCGTAACTCTTTTGGTGGTGCGGGTGTCCATGGGCGGCGCCGATTGCTTACCATCAGGTAATCCGTCAGCTAGTTTGCCGACTTATACCATAAAAAAATATTAACTTTCTCAAAATGTTGTCCTTGCTTTAGTTCAAAGTAATAAATGCGTCATCATCAGCCGATAAGTACCCACCCACTGCTAAGCAAATGCCTCTTCTTACACGGAGAATGTTTGAGCATTATTGCATGCTTACTCAAGGTGGATTGGCGAATTAACTAAAAATAATCCAGGTCTCATCACGATGTTTTCCTTCCCGTAGTGATGCCTAAATAATCATAGAAAGTACATTTAACTTGGAAAAAAGCCACATCGGTACAAGTCAGGTTTCGAACCCTTATATGAGATGCGGGCATCATAACTTCCAGTCCACCTCGACGTTACAATAATAACTTTAGCTTACTATAAAATATAAATATAAATTACACATTTACCTTCTTCTTGCAAAACTGTAAGAAAACCTAATAAATAATAATAATAATAAGTATTCGTATATAAATGAAGAATCTCCCTAAAAGGTCACGAAAGACTTATTGACTGGTTCTCAGTAATATATTGTATTATTTACTCAGGTTATGTTTGTTTGCAATATATCTCCTGCCTTAGACATATAAACATACATTTGTCAAGCAAATAGTGTTCATAAAGCCATGAAAATAGGTACGAGGTGGCGTCAACACTTTTTAGATGGGAAAATGTTTTTATTTGTTTCCGAAAACAAGAAGATGATATCCTTTTCTATTAAAGTTGTTTACAAGTTTCGATATCCTCCAAAACTTCTCGAAACACTCCATGTGACTCCTTAGGTGTTGCAGGTGTCCATGGGCGACTCTAATCTTTTACCATCAGGGAATTCATCAGCTCTTTTGCATTCTATTCCATAAAAAATGCTGTAGTGTATTAAAAAGTCTGGAAGGCCCAAGCTGCAACACGAATCGGCCAGCTCGGCCGGAGAGAGACCACAACCTCACAGAAAACCGACATAAAACAACAACAGCATTGTGCCATGTGTGTGAGGTTACCGGAGGCCCAATTCTTTTCTTTGGCTAATCGGAGATTTGGGTCTCTAACCCTAATCACCAAAAGGCCGGCAACACACTCGTAACTCCTCTGGAATTGCGGATGTCCATGGGTGGCGCTGATTGCTTACCATCAGGTAATTTGCCAGTTTAGTTGCCGTTCTATCACATACAAAATATTTTGATCAGCTAGAAACTTACCTACTCAATAATCTTAAGTAGTGCACTAGGAACAACACGAAAAGTTATTAGATTATAGGTATTATTATTTCTAGTACCTATATATTTTTTCTTGCCCAAACCTTTTGGCTTAGTGTGAAATCTAAACAATAAATGCATGAGGAATTTTACACCAAGTTAGACTGCTATCTATCCTCTAAATTTTGCTAAAGAGTTAACAACGCTAAGGACACTTTTTCTACTAAGATTTTTTTATCACCAAAAGTTAATGTCAGTATGAGAACTCAAACAAAGTTAGCTTAGTTTTGTACGACGAAGAAATCCCTAAAAAGATGGCGAATTCACACTCTCTAGAAGTTTCCTCTCGAATCAAAAGGCTTTCAAGTTGACGTGAATTTTAAGTAATGCCCAAAGAAGGTCTTCCTTTTGAATAACAATGTGCTTAGTGCCCTACTTCACACATGCACATAAGTACTTACTAGCTACTCTCGCGCGGTTTCACCCGCTGCTCGGCTGCTACAGATCGTAGCTTGATGTTTTATAGCCTATTGCCTTCCTCGATGATAACTAACGAATACAAAAAGAATAGTTCAATTCGAACCAGTAGTTCCGGAGATCGACTTGTTCAAACAAACAAACTCTTCAGCTTTAGAATATTAGTATAGATTGGTAGGTATATATTATACGAAACATGATCATTTTTCTTTTAAATAATTTTATTTATTTTTTTTAGTAAAAAGCTAAATACTTCTACCTATTAGCATTTGATGTGATCAGGTTATCAATCTGCTCGTTTTCCGAAGTATTTTATGATACAAATGGAGGATAGATTTTATTTTAGTCTAATTACTTTAAGAAGGTTTTTTTTTAATTTAGAATCGTATATACAACTCTTTTAAATTCAGAATAGTGAAATTTAACATAATTATAGTAATCTTTATTTGACATTAACCTTGTCTAAGACCTGTCTTGCAGTCAGGTAATGCACTTATTTATAACTCTAATACGACTTATAATTAAAATTGTAAACATTCCATTACATCTTCAGATACTAAGAAATATGCTGGATATGGAAAAAAAATCCAAAGTCAAAGTAATAAATTGCAAATCAGTGCCGAAAATATTTTCCATATTGTTTTTCGAATGATTCGAAGTTATTCCGTGCGTTCAAATAAGGATATTCGGTTCTGGAATAAAATTCAATTTACTTTTATGGACAAAATTCAAGGTTGACTCGTTCCTATTTTATTATTACGAGACGTTTTGTCGCGATCCGAATTTTCTTATGAGGTAACGCTCAGAAACTTGTTAAAAACTTAGATATGAACATGGTATTTGCAAAGTTTGTAATCAAGGTAGATTTGGTGAAGGCGTTTTAGCTATTGTTTTTGTTTTGTATGTTTTCTATTTGTATATATTTCTTGCATTTAGAGAACTTATTTTCTTGGTTAATCTTCTCTTCTTGAATAATGACTTGGTTCCTAACTGAGATTATAAATTTCCAACTTCTAATGTAACCATCTTAACATTACACATTTCCACGGCACATCGTTAGTCTACATTTCGAATAAAAGACAATAAATAAAAAAAAATATTGTATTACTAGTATTTTCGCCCTGTTTCACCCGCTGCTCGATCCCATTTGATCGTATCGTGATGTTTGAGGCTATAGCCTTAATGAAAGAATTGGAAATCTTACTAGCGATTAAAAGATTACCTCCTACGTACAAACTTATAATTACAATTTACCTCTTTGTAATATTTTGTATAGATTTATGTTATCGTCATACGTCATACTTATCGTCATAATATAGCACAGAATGACAACTGTTAAACGTATACCTTCTTAGATGAAGTTGCGGATGTAAGTGCAAAAATTTTTCGCGGCCCTGGCCTCGAGCAGGAGAGAGAGAGGAACGGAGTGTTTTTTATCCAGTAAGAGTCTGACACTCCATCTAGCCCAGGGCGGGAGAAGTCATTTGAAGATACTCCCGCCTCAAAAAATTTGTTGACTTGACACAATGCCACATTATTTACAACTTGTGTATATTGAAAACGTCTTCAATATGACCCAACATAGTAAAAAATATAATCGTCTCTTGCCGCCAATTATTTATTTATCCATCTTTTTCCACAGGTTGTAGCCACGTATGTAGCAGCTGATTCAACTCTGCAATTCATCAAGGACCGACCTATCCACTGGGCTGGTGGTAGAACTACTCCGCCACCAGACACTCCAGTTTGTGGCTTCGATGGATCACTCTGTCCTGATAACTGTAAGTTATTTTATACAATGAGTAATTTATGAAAAGCAAAAATCTAAAAAAATATATGTCAGATAGTTAAAAAAAACAAAGGCACTTTTATTTTATTTCTTCGAAATAATATTTTTCTCATCTTCATCATGCCTTTTCTCATACAGAGAAGGTTACAGCATTAATCACCACAATCAACATACAAAATACATATATTTTTAATTTAATTCAAGACTTTCAAGTCGCTTTGAACCGATTCTCTGAGAACACTTTTGAGTAAGAAAACAAAGTGTCCACAATATTTTTTACTTAACTTTGCTTTCATCTTATTTCCCTCTTAATCACAAAGGAAGGACTTTTAAATGAGGCGTTGTTTACCTTCCAAAGAAAGCCAGTAAGGTCTTATATATTTACTTACTTAATTGTATATTTCTAGAAGTACTTACTTTAAATTTAATTTAATTTTCTTGGTAAATTAAGTTTTTACAAAAATACTATTTAAGGAGGCTTTTTAGCAAGTTAAATTATCAAATATGCGCTATTTGTGTTCTTTGCATGGTACCTAATTTAATTATCTAAATTGTAATAAATAGGTACAATATATCAAGTTTCGTAAAAAAAGATATTTTAATTTGTTTAAAATAAAAACTTCTTTCTTACAACCTCCGTTCTCATTTCATTTACACCGATGTTTATAATAAAAGAAGAAAACACAGTTTAATTTTGGAATGTAAATGATTATACCGCTGCGTTTAATACGCTGATGGCATTTTCTGTTTAATTAAAACTGGCTCGACTTACTAATTACTTCGATTAATATTTAAGACCGAATTTTATCAAAAAGGGATATTGTTTACACTAAAATCTGATAAATTGAATAGGTTAAGGTTGAAATTATGTGTTTGTAATTGTAATGTTTACATTACATTTGTTTTAAAGTTTACTATGTAGATGCCCAATGGACACACGCAACAACGGAGGAGTTACGAGTACATTGCCGTGCTTTTGGGGATTAGGGTTTTGGAGATTTAGGCATTGGTGGAGGGGAAGGGCCTCCGGTTACCTCACACTGCGAAACTCAACGCTCAATGCGTATTTTACGTCGGTTTTCTGCGAGGACGTGGTATCACTCCGGTCGAGCCGACCCATTTGTGCCGAAGCATGGCTCTTCTACACTATTATTAGAAGCAGTTGATCTAATTAAAATAGCTGTGTTAGTCCAGAGGCTACAAGTATTTCTCAGACAAATATACTTTTAACACATTCAGTATATCCTACAGAACCATTCAGAACCCGTAACCGCTGCCAAGAATGCCAACTACCCTTATCTTATCTATTTCCAATCGTACACCAGCCCTAGATCTCCCATCTTAATAATACTATCGGGTCTTTGTTAAAATCGTTTGCGGTGCTTACAGCTTCACAGCTGACATCGAAACTTTTCTCAACTTGTTCTCTCAAAGAAGAGATTTTCGTAATAAGAATAAGAATAAGAAATTTATTGGCTCAAACATGTGTATGCATACAGAATTAAAATAATACATGCATGCAAGATCTTAAATAAAAGGGGCTTACGACATGTTTGCCATTTACCATGGCGTGCAAATATTTTAGGTATCTATTATAATTATCATATTACTTATCATTACTAAGAATTCATAATTAATTTCAAAACAATTAATAAATAACATAATTTACATTTATACATTAAATATCAGTAACATTACATAATAAAATCAATTTGTTTATATTCAAATAAGTTAATATTTAAGTACATAATCAGATTATTTATTTTTATAAAAGTATACAAATTATAATTCAAATTACTTATTTTATTTCATATTTTAAACCATTCAATCATGTATAACATTTAGCTAATGAACAATAGTTCCTTGGTTCACACAACCTTAATTAGGACAATGTTAGTTTTTATTATTATCTATTTACTTACGTACTAGTCTTCTTATGCCTATTTTTTTTTTATATAGGATCTCATTTTTATTTCTAATGTGCAGTTGTATCCACTATCAAAATTTGTTAAACCAGAACCAGTATAAACCAGACAATACGACTCGTGATTTCAACAAAAAAAAAATGTGTTCTAGAAAAACAAACTTTGGACAAAATTAACAATGCTAATCTTTTTCCACTAAATACATTTGCGGTTTCCCTACATTTAGTATTTGGTAATTCACGTCCAAACTATGTAGTTGGTTACTATTTGTGGTATTGTGGTTGAAAAGCGCTTGCAAAGCACGTATCTAATTAAATTTTGATCTATTATTGTTTTCATAATAAATTCTGTTCATAGTAATAAATTTTATTGTTTAACAGTAACATAATAGTGGCAGCATCAATACATAATCCTCATTAGCACTAATTCCATTATTCCCGTCCACTGCTGAACAACAAGCCTCAGAAAACGCTACTAAACTCGATATTCATATTTTACGTATTCAACCATTACCTGGTGGTAATTTACTCCATCTAGCTGGTCCCATACAGCGTGGTCTTAAACGTTGAAGCATCTTCAGTTCCCATAAAATCTTAATGAGCTTGCTAAATTCTGAGTCTGACACTCCCTCTCGCCCAGGGTGAGGGGGCGCGAGAAGTTATTTGATGATTATTCCCTCACAAAAAAGGCTCACATGGCACTCATGATTATAATCAGTGGAAGAAATGATATTAAGAAACATGTTGTTGCTGCGTTCTAATTTTCAGATCAGAAAATAATATCATCGAAAATCAGAAGTAGCAATCCGAACTGAAATTACAATTAACTGTGACGTCAGTTTCAGATCTCCAAACAGTGTATAATTACACCAACCTGTCTGCAATAATATATTTATGTACAAACCTATTCGATTTTTAAGTTATAAGGAATTTTTATTTTTACTGCTATGGATACAAGAATCAATTTAGGGTGGAAAATATTATATTGTTTAATAATGCGCTACTAGCACCCGGTTTCTGAAAAGTTTGTCAACGGTAAAATTAACTAATCTCCTGTTAAATCTCTTGTCAAGTCATCTGATTGGTTGTTGATAATTCAGTCAACCAATCAGATGACTTGACAAGAGATTAAATTAATTTTAACATTGATCGGCCTTTCGGAAACCGGGTGAAAGTCGATTCAATGCTGTGACAGGGAGAAATCTTACTGGATTTAACACTTAATCACAACAATTTCTTGATTCTTAATATCAAGGCACAGAAAACTGGCGTAAAAAACTAAAGCGTTGTGTTTCGCAGTGTGAGTGAGGTAACCGAAGGCCCAGTCTTCCCCAACCCTCCCATATCCTTGAATCCCCAAAATGCAAGCAACGCAATTGCAAATCCTATTGTTTTGCTAGTATCTTTTTGCAGTGCCGATTACTTACCGTCAGGTAATCCGAAAGCTTGCTTGATGATGTATCACATAAAAAATACGAAACCAATAAGCAATAATGTATTGCAATAAATAACATTACAATACAGTATACTGCTAACAGCTTATTACGGATATAGTCCCGTTCATTTCAGATCATAATCTAATACATGAGTAGTGTGTAAACGATGCCTTTGATATATGTTGGCGCACAGCCAATATTTGCGCCACACATCGGCCAGGGACAATGTTAGATATTAAATTCCTATTAGTTTGTTTAATGATGTGTTTGTGAACTACTTAACTGTGAAATATCATGTTAATATTAAATTGTGAATTATCATCATCACCATCAAGTCTTATAAATGTGAAGAATGCCAAATGGTTTCTGCCAAATGTTAAATAAGTGTGCGAGAGCCAAGCTTCGGCACGAATGGGTCGGGTCGACCAGAGTGATACCACGGCCTCACAGGAAACCGTCACATGAAACAACCACAGACCACAGCGTTGTGTTTCGCCGTGCAAGTGGAGTTACCGGAGGCAAAATCCTTCCCCTCCCCCAATCCCTCTCCAATTCCTAAATCTCCAAATCCCTACCCATAAGGTCGGCAACGCACTCGTAACTCCTCTGTTTTGCGGGTGACCTTCGGTGTAATCCGTCTGCCGAACTATCACATAAAAAAGGAGTGTGGAGGAGATATTATATATATATTTACTTATTTGAATGTTTTAAACAAAGCCATAAGTGGGATGCCATTCATTAAAATAAAATCGAAAACATTTTTATTTTTCGATATAAGATTTCCATCAATAGACGTGAAACTTAATATGTATGCCATTATATGATTTAATTTCATTTTCATTATATGGTTGGGGCCAGCATTTTATATGGTTTTCTGAACGAATCACTAACAATAGTAACAATTACTCGAATCGGCAAATGGAATATTGAAACCCTGCAAATGTTTCGCGTGAATTCGTGATTATTGCGTTCTAAACGAGTTAACATTTATTTAGGCACATCAACTATCACATAGGCCATCTATTTTAAACTGCAGGATAAATTTTACTTTTCACTTGCGGAAATAAAGTTCAAATTCCTATGAACTCTCGTCTGATTTTTGTATTTGGCATTGTGTTTTATTGACCCACGACACAGGAGAAAATCCGAGCGATTTTCTGACAAAAAAAATCCTGTATGTGTTTACTGCTGAGCAAAGGCCTAATACGGAGAAAAATTAAGAATGAATCACCACGCTAGCTCAAGACGGATTGGCGATTTCAAACTTATAATTAGAAATTTTTAGTCAAGGTTTCCTTCACTGTACGTAAATGGTGCCTAAACAATCATAGATAGTACTTAAAATCCAAAAAGACACATTGGTTCTTGCCAGGTTTCGAATCCGCACCCTCATTTATGAAAAGCGGGCGCCCTAACGGGACTGAACCTTACCTTCACCCTATGCCAGTGTCTAAATAAGCTTGAAAAGTACATAAATACTTAATGTATACGTTTAATAAATTCAATTTTCCCGTTACAAAATTGTTCAGACAAGTACGTGAGATAAACCACGCAAATACATTTCGATGAAACATTAAATTATCGGATCTAGCACAGTCGTGTTTATTTTCCCGTGAAATTAACTTTTATTGGGTTTATTACGATAATTCATTTAAGGGTGAAAGGGCACAATACATTTTTCGAATAATACCTTCTTAATGTCAGTTTGTTCTAGATTTTTTTTCTGAATGTAAGGATGGTGTTTTTTGAGGCAGGTTAGGGCCATCTAAAAGTCATCAGGAGAGATCTATTTTCAACAGTAGATGATTAATATTCTGATCGGGCGATGATCTTTGCTGAATCTTAGGATTCGGAATCTGCATGTTTATGCAGCATACATTAGCATATGCCCGTAGCAAATGCCTTCAGTATCGTCAAAAATATAATGGGGAAAGCAAAATTACAAAATTCTGGCAAAGGAAATGCCTACGACAATTTGTCGATGTTGCGATGTTATCTGACTTTTTTCAACAGCAGGGATTTTCCTACCTCAAGGGAATAAAACACGGAAACTCGTTTAACCAGAACTCTATGCGGATTCGTGCATGCCGTTCGTTGTGTAGAAATAACTTTTGCTTCCTGCTATCATCGGATTGATGTGCTATTTACGTTTTCTGGAAAGCGGAGTATATAATATTACCTTTACAAATGTGTGCAAAATCACACCTCTGCAGTCGTACACAATTATGTTTGAGAATATAATCCACTCTCGCGTTTCTAACAATATATTATGTAGTTAATTTCAATGTAACATTAAATATCAAGAACAGTTTTGAATTATTTAGATACAATATTTTAATGCAAAGATTTTAAATACAAATACTTCTTTTTGTGAAGGGTAATTAATCAAATTTCTTTTTCCGTCTAGGGTGAGGCGAGAGGGAGAGTCAGACTCTTATTGACTTAAAACCCCCTCGTTCCTTCACCTGCTCTAGGCCGAGTCCGCGGTGCCATATTGCACTTACACCGCAACCCCGACTGAATATCAACCCTATAGGCCGTCTTTTTTTTTTCCTGTGGTGGTCTTTTGGCTTTGAGGAAAGAACAAATATCTTTGGCGAATCTTGTGATCTAGTTGTTAAACTTTCACTCTAAACTACTAATGGACCATGAAAGATTCGCAAAAATAGAGTTCGTAAATGGAATTCGTAGAAAAACCGTAACTAGAATTATAGTGAATTCGGAATAACTATTGGGATGAATGTGGTCCAAAATTTACATCGCATGGAACGAGTCAGTGTGAATAACGATTGTATTCAGTTTCATATTGCTGTGTGTGTCACGCCTGCAAAACAATTCTGATCGTGCCAAAAGTGGGTCAACATATATAGACTCTTTTCATTTTTTCTGACAACGTTGTTACGAGAATAGTGGTGGCCGACGATTAGAATCAAGTAATTGTATTGACTAAATAGTCCTAGATACAGTCTAAAGTTGCATTTGCACAGTTGCACAAAGATTTTCATTGTCAGTTTTTTTTTACAGTCGTAGTGTCCCGAAGGCTCCCAAGTACCAATGTGACTTTTTCCAAGTTATATGTTCTTTCTATGATAATTTAGATGCCACTGACAAAGAACTGAAGAAAAAAATCGTGAGAAAACCCGAACTTGTAATTTTTTATTGCTATCCCGCCTTGAGCAAGCATGGGGATCAATGCTTAAACATTCGCCGTGTGAGAAGAGGCCTTTTCTCAGCAGTGGGCAATTATACACTGATGATGAATGTCTTTTGAAATGTTTATCCTACTTTTTCCTTAACATACATTAAAAGATAAAGGTACGACCAGTTAGAAGAATATGCAATTACATTACCCACACTTCAACCTTTCCCTTCGGGAACAAGAAATATAAATGTTACGTCAGACAAAAATGCTATGTACAAGGTTAGAACAGGCTCCTGAATTTTTGATGTGCATTATAACAAAGGTTATTGTGACAATTTTAGCTGACAGCCAATATTATACCCTACATGGGTAGGGTAAACACAAATTGACAGATTAAAATATACTACGTGCATGAGCGTGACTGTCGCGTAAATTGATAGACAAGTGGGTACTTTGTTTCCTAAGTCTGTTACAAATAAATAAAGTATTTAGAATTTTCTCTGGAATGATATATTAAAAAATAATGTACACGCTATCATTGATTCTTTTCAGCTGTGGTTTTAAGATTATTTTTAAAGCTGTATTTTACGTAAAAGATTGGGTCTCCATTAACCTCAATCACACGGTAAAACATGTAGAGGCATAAACTAAACTTTCCTTTTAGAATAAATCTATCGTGTGTAGGAAATTCTTAGAAGTAATTAAGTCTGGAAAGATAAGATGTGTAACACATTTGTTTCCATATTGAACAAGTGGTCAAAAAGATGTGTTAAGTTAATTATAAGTCGACAATCGTGGTGAACCATAGCGCCCGCTTCTCATGCAAGATGGATGCGGGCCCAAAACCTCATAAGTAACAATGTGACTTTTTCTCACATGTACTTTCTATGATTATTTAGACGCTACTGACGTACGGTGAAAGAAATCATGGCCAAAAAGCCTGAAATTTAAAATCGCTACTCCTTCTTCAGCAAGCGTGGTGGTAATGCTCAAACCTTATTCATGGGATTTTAGGCTGATGAAGCGTGATGTGTAATATTATAATTATGTACATTTTCCAACCCATTCTAGGAATATTAAAAAGGTATATTAAAATATTAATTAACGTTATTTGTTCCAGCTCTCCCAGTGTACGCGATTTTGAGTATAATCCTCAGCTCAGTTGTGGTTGTTTTGGCCGTACTCTCCGTGTTTATATACAGGTAGCTATTTTATTACATTTGAGAGTAAATATTAATTGTAACATTCAAAAATTGAAGGTAGAAATTCTTTACATAATTGCTGCAATACACATATTTGACCTATCGTTTCGATTAAAAAATGTTAATGGAAAGGAAAATGTATATTTCTTTTTAATTATTAAAAGCATCGCAATCTTTTAAAAACGCAATAATAATAAGGCACACACCATTCCTTTTAAAATAAAATGGCAATCTTTATCGTTGGTATATTTTTTTGCTAGTTAGTTCTCATTAAATGTGCTTAATTGCGTGAACGATTTTATTAAATTGCAAATGAAGTGAGCATTTTCCAGTATATTATTAAAAATATAAGTCTGTAATAATTGAGATGTTGTGCATTGCTCGTTATAACACAAGGATTAATATGAAAGATGTTGGTTTTAAAATACATTCTATAATGGAAATCGATTAATTCCTCATATTCTGTTTCTACATTTATTTATGCCGTTATAGGGTGTTCTCATACACCCTATTATTATCTAATTGAAGACTATACATCTTTAATTGTACTTATTTATTTTTATTTCTTCGCAAGCTTCGAGCTTTTTTTTTAAACGTTGACCCACACTAAAATTTTCTCCTGGTACGTGGGTGCAGTTACAAACATACAATTTCACATGCACAAATAATAACGTACAATGTTTTAACTTTAATAGGCATTATAAGCTGGAAGCAGAGATAGCCATGATGACATGGCGCGTCAGCTGGAGCGATGTCCTTCAACCAGGCGGTCGGTTGCGTGGGAGTATGCATTCATTGGCAAGAAGATATAGTACTGGGGTAAGTTTGACCTGAACACGACTATATAACGCTTTCCTTGTGTTTCTTCCAATCCTCAAAAAGCCAGCCAAAAAAGAAAACCACTTCATTTAAGAAGACATTAAGAGATGTTACTTAGTGGAAGCGTATTGTAATATTTGTTCATAAAAGCTTAACATGAAAAGACACGAAACCGAGTATAAAATGTGAAAACAGAAACAATAGGGACGACCCAAATAAAAATCCCTTACACAAATCCGTTACGACAAAACGGCATTCTAAAAAGGATCTGTAAACATAAGACATTGAAAACGACTTATGTATTCATTCTCAAGATCTTTTCGGTGGGAAGGATAGAAAGAAATCAACAATTGTTTAGCATTCTTTAAAATAAATAAACCTTGATTCAAAAACAATTCAAAGCTTTATAAATAACCACGAAAATTATGGACAAAGCGAAAGTATTGCACCAACATAATTTAAGGAATTTTGAAAATGAAAAAACGGAATCAGAAGATCTTCGAATCCGTCAAAGGAAAGGAAGACTCTAAGCTAGACCAAGCAAATTAACAAAATGATATAAAGGGAAAAACAAATGGTAGATTTTGCTACGTGTAATAAAAGTTGTTCCCTAAATCTGACCTAGTTTATGAAGGTCAGTAGTAACAAAACCGTAGAAAAGGAACCGAACACGGAAATTCCTTAAATTTTCTTGATCGTGCATGTTCCGGTTCTTTGTTGTTGAACTTTTATCATCATTATTCTTTTCTTTAATATCTACTTAGTTCAGCTGTAAATAAACTATGAGATCTTGACCTTAACTTGATGTAGGGTGGCGTTTTTTTTTAGATGTTATTGCCATAATTTCTATTAGTCATGTGCCTAGATTTTACCAAAAAAAAAAATAGAAGAAGAACAAAATCTACTTAGAAATTAAACACTAGACCACTATGTTTGCCAATTTGACTGGCGATCATTCAACCACCTACGTTTATAAACTTAACGTTACATTCCTAAAATTTATTAATATTTAACTACAAAACTTGTATCGCTCCCGAAGAAAATAGTTTCAATTGATTCATTATTGACTTACAGTTTGTGGCGAGCGAAGTTTCAGGAAGTTATAAATGTCAAGCATTTAGAGATCCAGTCGAACTTCATTCTTCGGCAACGTTAATATTCGATGAACTCTTATTGAAAGTTTAAAGATCTAAATAGTTTCTGGAGTTGCAAATTTGCCATTATTTTTCGAATGTTTAGGCTTGAAACTATATCAAAAGAAGGATAAAAAATGGAATGATTAGATAAAAATTGTTAATAAAACAAATATCAACATTTTTAATCAGCCAGTTATAATTATTGACAGAGGAAAAGCTGATAAACAAAAAGACATATTACATAAAGTCAAATTAAGAAACCTGCTCCTTTTGGAAGTCGTTTATGACCGAAGTGCCAGGAACTATTAAGACCTGGGCGTGGTACATGAAATACTTTAGTTTGTTGTCAGTCTTCTATGCTATTTTCTATAAAGAAACATTCAACCTACCTGCGTGTGGTTAAAACAATAAATTAACCATGTATTGGTGATTATCATTGTCACAATAATCCGTTTACTATCAAATAAAAACGACAACAATATACAACAACAAAATTTAGATACAGTTGATATCAGGCATGTAATGCGTCAAAAAATTCAGGCCTGCTAAAATCGATGATCGTTTTGAATGGTCCTTCGGAAAGGCTGCAAATACTGCTTCTTGGTGGTAGAGTAGAATAAATACTATGTGCAACACTAGCCTTACGCAGTGTTATTATAATAATAATAGTGACAAAGGGCACATAGGTAGTTTAGGTTTTTTAAACCAAAATTCAAATTCTATTTTTGTTTCAGACTACATTTTCGGATGAAGCTACATCGTTGGCCGGAGACAGGCAGGTCTACACTCCTTGCGGTTTCTACAAAGGCTGTCGAGTTGCTATCAAAAAAGTGGACAAACAGCGCATAGACCTCACAAGACCACTACTGCTCGAACTAAAGAAGATGAAGGATCTAGAACATGATCATTTGGCAAGATTTTTCGGTGCCTGTGTGGATCCTCCTCATTGTTGTCTCCTGACGGAATACTGTCCTAAAGGATCATTGCAAGATATTTTGGAAAACGAGTCTATAAAGCTGGATTGGATGTTCAAAGTCAGTTTGATGCACGATATTGTGAAGGTGAGTAGTTATATAACCTCCCCCCTCCCCCCTCTTGAAGTCAGTAACACAAACATGATCCTTCTCCTCCGGCCGTCCTTTACTCTGTTCAGTGCTTTTACATCATTCCACGCCTAAGTCTGTTAATATTGATCCTTGCTAAAAAAAAGGTAGGTATAAGTATATTAACATAAACTAACAAAATAAATATTAACATAAACTTACAAACTTAGCAATTTATTAAAGGTATTTGAAATGATAAATCAGATGGATTTATTATTTCAGATTACACCATAACAGTTTGAAATGTGGGGTCGTTTATTCCCTTGTTGAATGTAAATAGTATTAAATCCCTAAAAAACTTGTCACATTTACTAGTTAACTTTATCGGGAATGTTGTCGTTTTAAAGTAGTAATAGTAAGCTTGTAAACAATAATAAGTGCTTATTATTTTTTATATAACTTCATTTCATTTATTTTTATTTCGTGTGCGCACAAATGTGTATGTTAGTCCCACGAAATAGAAAATGGACAATTTTATTAGCGAATATGAGAGTTTGGCGACACTGGTTCTCCTTTTGACAGAGTGTAGGGACAATTCTACTTAATTTTCTGTTCTGTGATTAGTCCAATAGTCAGGGGCCATCCAGTGCTGTGCACTAGCACAGCGTATACTGAGACGGATCCCTTGCTACACTGGTTTTTTTTTGGTACTTAAATGTTTATTTTTTATTTGTTAGGTAAGTGTATGTATATTGTGACAAAATAAGGAATCTTGGACTATGGATTCTTTTGAGGTAATGAGAGGTGCTTCTACGTCTTGGTCGGATACAAAACTGCTTTGAATTATCCGTATGGGATTATAGATAGAACATAGTTTATAATTATTTTGCCTGGGGTTTTGTATTTCTCTCTCTTTCTCTCTCTCTCTCTCTCTCTCTCTCTCTCTCATATGATTATTTTGTTATGATACCTTCGTTTATGGATTCCTTTTGGTCTACGTGAATGCTGGTGCAGATTCAATTGTTATATCACTGTCAATACTTAATCAAAGCTTCGTTAAATAAATGCATGTTTTAATTACTGTTCAATCAGATATAAAATTAAACAATACGATACTGAAACTCGAATTAATTTCAGTGCAAAATTTAATTATTTCAGTCATAATTCGATTTTTGATGTTGATCTGAATTGTTTTGCTTGTTTAATGTTTTATTGAATTATTTAAATATCATACTTGTAATTTAAAACCTGAAATGATCTGATGTTTTTTGTTTTAATATCAAGTATGTAATACAGTTGTAGTACTACTAAATCATTGAGGACTGATGTTACGGTTTTATAAAGTATACTGTTTCAAACTAACTCAACAAGTTCAATTCCTGAGTACATTTCCAAAACTATACATAAGTATCAGAAGGCTGTTTAGGAAATATTTAAATAACACCGACAGTGAATAGGTTAACAATGTGATTACAAGGAATAAGAACATATTCTTAAGGGGTAGGTCGGCAAACGAGCAAGTTCACCTGATGGTAAGCAATCGGTCCCGCCCATGGACACCCGATACACCAAAGGAATTACGAATGCTTTGCAGAATAAAGGTAACGGATATTAAGGGATTGAAAAGAAGTGGGAGAATGGGGAAGGAATTGGTCTCCAGTCAATTCACCTACACGGTGAAACCATTTCCACCATGTATCTTATATAACTCATGGTTTTTTGGTTTTTATTAACATAACCACTTACATTGTTTTCTCCATTCAGGGCATGCACTATCTCCACGGCTCGGATATCAGATCTCACGGCGCTTTGAAATCGAGTAACTGTGTAGTGGACTCACGATTCGTCTTGAAGATCACAGACTTTGGACTACACGCGTTAAGAACTTCGGAAAAGGACTCAAGGGCGCACAGTTATTGGACCCGTAAGTTAAATTAAATATTTCACCTCCTTCATAATTGACTGACTAGTCAAATTTCATTACCACATTAAAATACCTTATGTATTTTGAAAATAATATGCAATTAAGTCCACATCGATTTTCCACCTAAATCTTAAAGTTACCTTTTATCATTTGGTCAACTTACTAACTACTTAATAGATACTAAATAATATAGTTGTACCCACGGAAGAAGGTTTAACTACAAAATATTATCTGGTCTTATATAATAATATGTACTTTTCCAACACAATCATGAAAATAATCCCTGATTTGAATATGTATATGTATATGTGTAATATATTAATTTTCTAATTTTATTGATATTATTTTCACAACCTATACTCAGTTTTGCAAGCAATGTGTGAACTTAAATTTCAATTTGATGCCAGTGGGATTGTTTGATGTAGTCGAAAATCATAAGATCACCCGGCTTGCCAAGAAAGCAAACTTTGAAAAGTTTTAATTTCGTTTTTACTTTATAATTGACTTGAAAAGTTCTTTCGTCTTTCTTTGGAGATGGAAAATCAACATCCAATAGCATTTACACCCACGACTCCGAATTAGAGCAACATGAACCTTTTTTAAAAGACATTAAAGTTCAAAAGTATTTAGGGTCCGATGATCAAAGTCAGTATGCGGACGTGGTCTTTATGAAGCATCCTTACTTAATTACTTGGATTCAATTTGCTACGTAGCTGGCTGCCTTATTGCTTATATTGTCGATTGTAAGTGACGCTTTAATAAAGTGCAAATTCTTGTTTACCTTTCGTAAACACTGGCAGTACACAAACTTTTTGCGATACGGACATTTTTTTCATTACACCATAGACATAAAAAGGGCGGGCCGTAGTTTTAAAATAGACACAGAGCTACGGATGTGTGCAAGTTACACTTAAAAGTTAAAGTGATATTGCACCAATTAAAAGTCAAACTAGAAATAATTAAAAACATGGCATCTAAAATTATATATAAAATTAAAATTAATAACAATATTATACTACTCTGTCAAGAAAGTACCGGGAAAAGTCAATAATACACAAAATGTTTGTTATTCATCTAAATTTATTTTATCACCTTCAAAGTATGCTCCTTCAGAAACGATACACTTACGCCAACGAATAATCCAATCATCGAAACTTTTTTTAAACGCTGTTTCCGGAATTGAGTTCAGTGCTCGCCGCGAATTCTCCTTTATGTCTTCTAACGATTGAAAACGGGTGCCACGAAGGGGTAATTTGAGTGTGGGAAAAAGAAAAAAGTCGGCTGGAGCCATATCTGGTGAATATGGTGGCTGCTCGATGGTGTTTGTTGAGTGTTTGGACAAAAAATCGTTTACAATGATGGCCTTGTGCGAAGGCGCATTATCGTGATGCAAAATCCAAGAATTTTCTTTCCACATTTCTGGTCTTTTTCGTCGAATTTGTTCTCTTAAACGCCGCATAACGCTCAAATAATATTCTTTATTTACCGTTTGACCTTCGGGCAAGAATTCTGAGTGCACAACACCGCGATAGTCAAAGAAAACAATCAACATGACTTTGACTTTTGATCGACTTTGACGTGGTTTTTTCGGTTTTGGTTCAGTTGGAAGGCGCCATTCCGAAGCTTGTTGACTAGTTTGCATGTCAAACTCGTAAACCCACGTCTCGTCACCAGTAACAATGCGTTTCATGAATGTTGGGTCGGTATTGACTCGTTCTAGCATGTCCTCAGCGACTTTCGTGCGATTTAGTTTTTGAAGAAAATTCAGGTCTTTTGGGACTAGCCGAGCGGCAACACGTTTCATACCCAAATTATTTGTTAAAATGGTACGGATCGACTCTTGAGATACAGAAAGTTCGGCGGCCATCTCTCTCAAACTTGAATGAGGATTTTCAGTCACTATTTCCTTTACTTTTGCGATGTTAACTTCAGTTGCAGACGTTGATGGCCTACCAGAACGAGGCAAATCTTCCATCACATCTCGACCGCTTTTGAACGCTTTGTACCACTCATAAGCACGTGTTTTTGATAAAGTCGATTCACCGTAAGCCTTCTGTAACATTTTGAGTGCCTCCGAACACGAAATTTCATTGGCGATGCAAAATTTAAGACAAACTCTTTGTTCGATGTTTTTGTCCATTATGAAATTCGCAATACACACTAGATATTATAAAACTAAAAACAGCACTGTTTTTAATATAAATAACAGATGCAAAATGGAAAACAGTTATGCAAATCTAACAACAACAAAAAAAAAATCGAATTTGGAACCATAAAAAAACATTCATTCCCGATACTTTGTTGACTGAATGTAGATGAGTATGTATAATCAATTTAAATCTTCTGATCTTATACTTATTATATTCCTTAGGTCTTCTTTGGACTGCACCAGAACTGCTTCGGACGGCTGAACCTCCTCCAGAAGGGACTCAAAAAGGAGACGTGTACTCCTTCGGTATAGTTATGCACGAGATCGTCAACCGACAAGGAGCATTTTGGCTTGGTCCTGGCATTGAGATGGCTCCAAAAGGTCAGTTTATTTTCATAGATATAAGTTAAATACTTACATGTTACTCAATTAAATTAGCCATTTTTAAACTACATGCACGCCCTCTAAGCAAGAGGATCTTGCCAAGTTTGACAGTTCGAATTTGTTGAATATCGTATTTTCAAAAAGTTTTATCAGAAGTTTAGCTTGGTTAGTAAGATATTCGCGAAAAGAGTAAGAGTTGTAATGAAACATCTTCAACCTACCTGGCTATGCAATTTCTAAAAAGTATAAAGTCATGTTTCGTACAAATATTTTGCTCCAAGTTCGTGTCGACTTTTCCAATTTACGCAGTGTCCTTTATTATTATTTTAACCAAATAGTTTTTAAAATACGAGGAAAATTTTATCTGAGTATGAATTTAAATGAAATTCATATGATACGTAGCATTTTGGTCATCGAAAACCATGTTAAAACCACAATAATACACCCACAGACAAAAACCAAACCAGAAAAATTATATTATCAACAATTCAGCAAAATTTGTCAGATATATTATTCTCCTATTCCTCTTATATTATTAAAACTATTGGTTAAATAAAATGACGATGAAATAAAATATAATAAAAATAGTTAATTAAAGCATTTTTACTGCTTATTTTGGTAAATGATAAATAATTATAATGATTTACCAAAATTGTAGATTATTTTAATAACGGCTTAGACGATTGCCCATTACATTAAAATCCTTTGAAAAATGTGGTAAAGGTCACGTAAAATATTATAACGGGTATTTGAAAAATTACTCCATTTCTTGGGTCGGCTATTAGGAATAGCACCCCATGCGTGCAGAAAAAAATAATAAATTAAATAACAGAAAATTTTATTGAAATAACTATACATTAAGGCTATAAGACCGACTAATTGGGCGAGTAGTAGCCTCAAACACAACAACGGCCAAAGTAAAATTAAACTGTTTAAAAATTCTTTAAAAAAAGGAATACAGATGTAGCAATGTCAAATAGCAATTTTATTCGTTAAGGCATCAACAAGTTCAATTAAATACTTTTTCTGAAATGTCAATTTTGGAAAAATATTTATACTTATCACTCTTCTATAAATTAGCAAGGTGCGACGTCATGATTTTGTTAATTTCAAATAATATAATTGTTAATTGCTAATATTAATTTCACTTGAATTATTTAAAAATCCTGATATGAATTTTAGTGCTCAGGTTTAGGTATTCATAATTGTTAATAACCTCCTTTTAACTTTTAACTGTCACAACTACCATGATATATTTCTGTATTAAGGTACACTGGAAGCAAAAAAACCTTCGAAATCAAGTGTACAATAAAGTATTTAAATAAAATAAATAAATATATGTATGCTTTTTAAAGTATTTTTATGATATTATAATTTAAGTTGAAAAAAATAATTTCGACAAAATTTTCTTAAATACCATTTACGAAAAAAGTGTCTTAACCAGTGACAAGATAATAATATTATTCGCGTTTGTAATTTAAAGGCGACGTCCAAGACGTGCAAGCTAAAAATAAGTATACCTATTAAAATTATTTACTATATAATACATATTGTTATATAGGATTCAACCTTCCCTTGAATCTGTTGCTAATCCTGTTACTATGGAGAATTCTATGTAACAAAGCAATACAGATTTTATTACATTTCCCAGAACTGAATGTAACTATTATTAGTAGTATAATTTTCTGTAACAGATTAACTTCAGTAGCTTCAAACATATGTATGTTAATAAAATGTTCGTAGAATAGTCATAAACTTTAAAACTTACAACTGTATGATTTTGCCAGAATTTTGTAGCTATATAAATAAATCCGCTGGACCGGAGTGATACCACGGCCTTACAGAAAACCGGCGTGAAACAACAGCGTTGTTTCGCCATGTGAGTGAGGTTACCGGATTCTTAATCCTTCCGCCCCAATCCCTAAATCTCCAAATTCCTAATCCGCAAAAGGTCGGCAACGCAATTCAGGTGTCCATAGGCAGCGCTGATTGCTTACCATCAGGTAATCCGCCTGCTCGTTGGCCGATCTATCACAAAAGAAAAAGAATATGTTCAGTTTAAACTGAATTTACTTTTCTGGCGTGGTCGTAATACGCTTTCCTACATTGTTAGTGGTTATAAGAGACACAAAGCTATAGCATTTATTCGCCACATCAGAACAACAGGGACACAATCAAAAAAACCTTACAAATAAGAGACATAGACATAAAAACAAACAAAAAAGAGACAAGAAATATTTAAAAATTCAGTCTAAAATTGCAACTAATATTTAGCATACAGTATATATTTTTTTATGGTATAAGTCGGCAAACGAGCAGATACATTACCTGATGGTAAGCAATCGGCGCCGCCCATGGACACCCGCAACACCAAAGGTAACTCCTTTGGTGCCTGGTCCGATACCTTGCCGGCCTTTTGGGGATAGGGGTTGCGGATATAAGGATTGGGAAGAGATAGGGGAAGGGGAGGGATTGGGCCTCCGGTAACCTCACTCACACAGCGAAACACAACGCTGTGGGTTGTTTCACGCCGGTATTCTTAGGTATTATCTCAGAATACAGAACAAACCAGAAGGCGTCATCGCGCTTCAAACAAAAGCAACTAAAACCATTTTCAACTAGAATAGTATGAAATTTCTACGATTAGTCAATTTTGGCACGTGGCATGTCGTGACGTATTTACGAGTATCAATTTTAATTTCATTATGCCGTCTTGTGTTATTACTACGAGTAAAAATGCGACTGGAATTACGAAAAAAGTGGTGGTGGTATTATGTGTATATTTCCGAATGACTATGATTTATTCCAATCAGTCACTAAAATTTAAATATCTAGCCATATTTTACTGGTATGCACGGTGTCGAATTATGGATTTTTTGCAATACGCGCAATAAAATAAAAGTAGGCAATGTAGAGTAAAATACGCAGCAAAAGATTTGTATACCTGTGTAAAGGTTATATTCAATTTGAGAATTATTTTATTCGGCTCATTGAATATATTTGACGTTGTAACATTACGTAAATACTTACGAACATGGCTCCAATATGTTTATTGCGTGTAACCAAATTGAAAAAGAAAATAAATGTGCTCGGGACAACTCATGACGAAAACAGTCAGACATTTATTTTATTTGGACACCTACAATTCATTTGGCTTGTAGAAGTTTGAGGTTGGTAGAAGAAAATAATGTCGTTTAAAACGTTTTGATGATCAACAAAGAAACCTATACTTATTTTGTTTCACATCTTTCATTATCAACCCATATTTGTTAGTTATACATCAAACCTCAAGCGACCCCTTTTCTTGCATCTATTGCGGCTCGAATTTACGATTGAAAGCTTAAATGAAACACATAAAGGTGTAATACGGTAGTTTCCAACTAGTCAAATTCAAATGAAATTTGTATGAAAAACTGAGCTATGACGTTATAACATTTTTGCATCAAATAGCTTACTTATTTCACAAAAATTAGCTAAAAAAATCTAAAATTGGTGTATCGATCGATCGATGACTAAAAGTAAAGTTATTTTTCAATATTTTAATTAACCTAGGAAACTACCCAATTCTCTGCCTTAAGATGTCTTTTAACCAATTGTTTCTTTTCATAGAAATTATTGAAACGGTGATATCAAGTGGGCTTCGTCCAAACACTTCTCACCACCGCGAGCGCTCTTGTGAAGTCGATGACGCCACCGACCTGATGCGGAGGTGCTGGGCTGAAGACCCTACGGAGAGACCCGACTTCGCTCACTTAAAGGGAGCGATCCGACGCCTCAACAAGTAATAAATTATGTACATATATCTTCATCCTCTGGTGTAGATGTATTTACTTTCCTTTCGCTATTTTTGTTATTTTACAAAGAATCTTTTCTCAAAATTCCTTTTTTAGTTTGCCTTGTAAAGCTTGATATGATTGCTGTATTTATCTTAGATGGCATTAAGAAATCATTTTGTAATGGATTGATGACATTGATGCCTCTTTTCTCCCACAGAGGTCAAGCGAGTAGCAATATTTTAGATAATTTGCTTTCCCGTATGGAGCAGTACGCGAATAATTTGGAATCATTAGTAAGTGAAAGAACACAGGATTATTTAGAAGAGAAGAAAAAATGTGAAGAGCTGTTGTATCAGCTTTTGCCCAAGTGAGTATTTGGTTTTAAATTCTTGTAAAATAAAGGCATTTATATGCCGAAGCCATTTCGTTAACTGTTTGATTTCTTAAAAATGATGCTTAAGCGATATATCATGAATGTGGGTTCCTATTCAAGGTTTCGTGTGAACTGTGGATTTGTAAAATTGAAAGGAATTCAGAGCAAAAATAACAATAATTTGCAGAATAACAGACTACACCCACTCGTTATTGTATCGCTTCCAGTAACTCTTTTGTTCTTATGGTTCAAAAAGTTTATTGGAAGTAGGTTTTATTCCAACTTTTTACTTTTATAATTTGAATATTTGTGTGCAAACAAGTATACGTTGCAATAAAATGATCTTTACGGATAATGTACACTACCAATTCTTACCTTTTCTTAAATTTAATCCAAACTAATATTATAAATGCGAAAGTTACTCTGTCTGTCTGTCTATCTTTTCTTTACGCCTAAACTACAGAACCGATTTCTGTAAAATTTGATACAGACATAGTTTGGAACTCAAGAAAGGACATAGTATAGTTTTTAAACCAAAAGTCAGCAGGAAGACACCATTCCATGTGGACGAAGTCGCGGACAAAAGCCAGTATAATATAAAAGTAATTAATAAATAACTAAATCAATAATGTAGTAGTAATACATTTGTAAACATCTTTTAAAATTTGATACCAAGTAATTAAGAATAAAATTAAATACAAAACATTTCTTTTGATTTATTTCATTCATTACAATTGTTAATTGAAATTTTCTATCTTCTATCGAAACTTTTTTTCTAGTCAAGTAAAATAGGAGCGCTAATTACTTCTCGTAATTTCTCAGGCTAAATTCTTTAGTAAGGTTTAGAATTGACGAATTGAATTCAAGAATCAACTATCTAATATAACAGTCCTATAACCATGCTGTTTACCCACAGATCCGTCGCATCGCAATTAATCAATGGCCAGTCAGTTGTCGCCGAGACGTTCGAACAAGTGACGATCTATTTCTCAGACATCGTTGGGTTCACTGCACTGTCTGCGTCGTCCACACCTATGCAAGTGGTCGACCTGCTAAATGATTTGTACACGTGCTTCGATTCCATTGTCGAGAACTACGATGTTTATAAGGTTGGTTTTTCTTTGATTGTATCTTTTTATCCTTGTAAATGGTTCTTGTAAGTTGTTATGATATCCTAAAAAACATAGCATGAATTTTCAATTTATAAGATCAACATCATCGAAAACTTCGAAATATTGTCATTAAAATAAACTGTTGACTGAAAGACAAGTTAAAATGTTATTAAATTAGTTCTCTTTTTTTCATAAAACTCTATAAACTGTCATTATTTTGTTTTCTGAATAAACAATAATTTAGATTTTTATAATGAATTATACCAATTTACTGAACGTGAAGCCATTTTAATACATTAAAGCAGTCAATGTCATTTGATATTTTTTCACACACAAACAGTTTCTCAACATCATTGACTGCACGGTTGGCGCGGTGGCTGGGCAACTGGCTGCCGCGCGGCGTGTCGGGGGTTCGATTACCGCACGGAACAACTCTTTGTGTGATCCACAGATTGTTGTTCCGGGCCTGGGTGTGATGTGCATGTGAAACTGTATGTTTGTAAACGCACCCACGACACAGGAGAAAATCCTAGTGCGGCAACTTTTTTTTTTAATAAAATAAATAAATATATAATTATTATTTGCAACAGGTGGAAACCATAGGCGATGCTTACATGGTTGTGTCTGGTCTACCAGAACGCAATGGCACTCGGCATGCCTGTGAAGTAGCTCGAATGTCTCTCGCACTCCGGGATGCCGTCAGCAGATTCCGTATCAGACATCGGCCACAGGATCAGTTGAAACTCCGGATTGGACTTCATTCTGGTAAGTCGATCACCCCTGCTTCAAAAAAGGTTTCTATTATATGATGAATATTGAAAAGAGACTGACCTCTGAGTTGGTTTCGGCATTTCTTCTCAGAGTAGTCATATAGGAACTGCCGGCTTCATCTAGTTTTTCACATATAATTTGTCCTGAAAAAGTGCCGTTTTATGGCCTATTTGCAAAAATAAATTCATTGGTTCATTGTTTCATTGAATCATTAATTTTACGTATACACAGAAGTAGGTTTATTTATTTATTTATATAAAAATAAGAACACCAACAATACAATCACCCAATGTAATACAAAAAACTCAGAAATCTAATAATTGAATGCACGAGCAATTGTACAAATTACAAGGTGTGCATGATATTAAAATGAAACGTTTTTGAGACTTATACAATAACAATTAAGCTAATAATAAAAAAAAAATGTTACTTTCATCCACTAGTCCATAGCAACCCATACCCATAACCCTTCCAATTATTACCACATTTTTGCAATAGTCCTGCATCAACCGGGGATTATCCTTGGGTGCACTTTCATAGTGCATACAGGGATAATTGCCGGCTGATGTCCCATTTCACTTAAACTAAAGTTGTTCAACGGGCCTCTGCGAGTTGGCTTCGGCCCGTGCGCCTTCCAAAGGTCCGGGATCCTGTGATCCCGAGAACGGAAACGAACACACAAAAAACATGTTAAAGCAATAACGATGGGCACTGTTCACACTGTTTAAGTAGGGAACGTCTGTATGATGCGAACTTCATGGAGAAAATATCGATGGGATAATCTGTCACAATAGTCCTTTCATTATATAATCTTGCCATACGTGTTAGAGAGTTATTAAACGTGGTATTTAAAGAAGATATTTAGTAAGTCTGGGAGAGCTATGCTTCGGCACGAATGGGTCGGCTCGACTGGAGTGATACCACGGCCTCACAAAAAACCGGCGTGAAATAACCAAAGAGTTGTGTTTCGCCGTGTGAGTGAGGTTACCGGAGGCCCAATCTTTCCCCTACCCCAATCCGTTCCCTTAGCCAAAATCTCCAAATCCCTAATCCCTAAAGGCCGGCAACGCACTCATAACTCCTTTGGTGTTCCGGGTGTCCATGGGCGGCGCCGATTTCTTACCATCAGGTAATCCGTCTGCTTGTTTGCCGAAATGTTGTTGTTTGCCATAAACAAAAAAAAAATAAACAACTTCCTTCCTTATTATATTACGGAGTTAGCATAAATAGCGGAAAATTGCATTTGTTATGTGAATGTCTTAGAGAAAACAGCCTCGCCTAAGCCATGACGTCACATGAAGTTGGTTGATATGTGGATTTTGTTTTTAATTAAGTATTTCAAGCAACGTTGTAAGTAGATTGAGCAGTTAATATTTAATGCAAAATATAAAATTTTCTTCAGCATCTTGTCTTTATTATAATCATTAGTCACAAGCCGCTGTAGATAAACTGTTTAATGTTTGAGTGTAGATTTTGTTAAAATATCTGAGACAAAATCCGAGAATATTCTCGTGAAATTAATAAGTTAAGAACATTACTTTACATTTCGTAAAATTGTAAACTCAATCTATGTAGATGCGTTATCATATATTTTGGGGATAATTATCTAATATTATAAAAAAATAAGGCATATTAGGTATTATTTTATAATGTAATTCTATAATATAACTAGTTTCCGCCCACGGTTTCGCCTGCCAGGTGTGTTCATAAAAAGCAGCCTATATGTTAATTCAGGGTATCACCTATCATATATCTAATTCAATAAAATAGGTTAAGCCATTTTTTCGCGAAAATATTACAAACATACATCCATAATATATTTTTTTATGTCGATCTTTGATTTTTGTATGATCGGTAAACGATCAGACGGATTACCTGATGGTAAGCAATCAGCGCCGCCCATGGACACTCGCAACGGAGGAGTTACGAGTGCGTTGCCGACCTTTTAGGGATTAGGGATTTGGAGATTAAGGGATTGGGGGAGGGGAAGGATTGGGCCTCCGGTAACCTCACTCACACGGCGAAACACAACGCTGTCGTTATTTCACGCCGGTTTTCTGTGAGGCCGTGGTATCACTCACTTTTCACATAATATAATATTAGTTGGATTGTTATTTAAGTACCTACATAATTAACCTATAACCGTTTTCGTGTTATAACTTTGGTGAGACATATTATATTTGTATTTAAGTTGAACGGTTTACTCACGTAACAGCTTAAGTCGATTAGTTTCAAGCCATGCTAGGGGCCCATATTCCTGAACAGCATTGCGCGATACACGGTGCGTAGAATGTCTCGCACCTAATTGAAAATAGCCAAGATTCTCATCAAACAGACTCTCTCTCTACATACTTAACTGAACCTTTCATAAAATTCTTTTATAATTTTGCAAAAAATATAATTATAATAACGCGAAAAATTCTAATATAAAATGTTAAATTGTATGCCAACTATAAATATATTTCATTTTGTGTTTGAACAATTTTAACACAATGTAAAATTACACGCCAATTATTCATATCACATTTAAAAAAACACGGCTCAATTTTTAAACAATTTAATATTAATTCTGCAATTTGATTTGTATTTGATTCTCTACAATGTAGATGGAAATTTTATGATATAAAAAATGTATTGCATAAAAAATGTGAACCACATTTTAAATTTCTACTCACATGAATATACATACAAAACTTTCCATTCTTTTTATTTCAATTATTTGTTTATTAAATTTAATCAAAGTTAATTTTGATATCACTAAATAGAATAAAATAAAGTCGCTTTCTCTGTCTCTATATCCCTATATATTTTTTTTTTTTTTTTGAGGATGAGGGAATTGATGAGGGATTGGGGAAGGGGAAGGATTGGGCCTCCGGTAAGCTCACTCACACGGCGAAACACAACGCAGTAGTTATTTCACGCCGGTATTCTGCGAGGCCGTGGTATCACTCCGGTCGAGCCGACCCATTCGTGCCGAAGCATGGCTCTCCCACACTTAATATATAATAATGCTTAAACCTTTAAAATACGCAATAGATTTTGATGCGGTTTTTTTAATAGAGAGAGCGATTAAAGAACATTTTTTATATAACATCCATTAAATGGTGTAGGAATTTAGTATCAGCATAGCACCCATGCAAATCTGGGCAGGTCGCTAGTATAAAATTATACATAATTTATGTATATTTCTTTTTATTTCGGAATGGGCAGACATTTGGCAGCTACCACGCCTTGTGGTAAACGATAATGCGACATACGATGGTGCATGCCTACCCATAAGCAACTTATTCACTCGGATTTTAAAGACACCCAGGTTTACAGACTCCGGCAAAGAATTGCACTCCTTAGCGAATATAGTTTAAGAAAGTTAGACTGGCTGCCATGCTCTCAAAAAACATATTTCCATTTTGTTTAGGAGTTAAGAAGACCTCACCTATATTAAAAGACATTCAGACATGTAGACCAAAAATATAGGACAGTAAATAAAACTGTTTTGACCGAAAAATGCCTGGAAAATCTTTGGCGAACTTCTAACTTCAAAATAAGTGGGACTACTGCCAAGTAATAGATATAATTAATTCAGTATTCAAACTTGAGCCCCGAATACACGATGAGGTCAAAAGATTATTGAGCCACTTCACTGTTTGTGCCTCCTCTAAAAGTTTAGTTGTTGACAATGGAAATTCATGTAATATAACAACGATGTTTTCATTCACAAAGCTGGACATGTAATCGTATAAAAACATCTTTGTAGTTGTTTCATTTGTCTAAAGTACAGAAAATTTTCTAGTTGAAATTTGAGGTGACTTAATTACCGCACCCATAACTTTTTATATAGTACAGCTAAGAATAACAAACAAATATCGGTTCATAGTAAAAACTATAGTAAAAAAATACAAGTTAATGGCTATTTTGTCTATTTTTTTCCAACAAATCGGATACCAAATCATAAACCCGAATAAAAACGTAAGCAATTTTCATCAGTAGCAAATTGGACGCCAAAAAATTACTCACCAACCGAAAATCAGCCTTAAATAAAGTCAACAATCACTTGGGTCGAAAATCAAAAGGTAACAAAAATCCGGGACACGAGCGTCGGAAAATTTTGCACGAAAATACAAGTACGTACATTCATTCCTTTCCGAAATAAATGAGTTGAGGCGGCACGCACTTGAAATGTAAATAAAATATGAGCTATCCTTTGTGGCTACGGATATTTTATTTTTTTAGGCATCCTAATTACTTTGCCATCATGTTAATGAAAGAGGTTGTTATTTAGATATGATAATTTAGAAGGCCTTTTATACCAAACTTTTCCTAATTAAGCATTTGCTTCGAAAATATTTATCTATGTTTAATATAATTTATAAAGGTTAAATGAAACTATTTTAGCTTTAGCTTTAAATTTAGACTCATGTGATCTGAGTAATGAAGTTAAATGAAATTGTATTTAAAATCTTTTAAACGATAAATGGTTTGAGATTCCAACATAATCTAAATAAACTTGAATAAAACCGTATCCGATTGAGACTTTTAATATTTAATAATGATTTTTTATTAATATGCAGTATACAATATACACTTAATTATTTTATGTACATATTGTAAGAGGTTCTTTATTCCGGGGACGTCACGCGTTCCTGGAGAAAAGCCAGGTCGATGTTGTCAACGTGTATTTGACTCAATAAAATAGGCGCAGTCCCACACAACCCTTTCCGCTTGGACGAAGGTGGCAGATGCAGTCCTCTAATCAAAAAAAAATATATATACAAAAATTGAAATAATAGTATAATAGTATCCGTGACTTGCAGAGGAGTCCCAAGAGACTATTCCAAGTAGGACGTAGCCTGAGCGTGCACCGTGATAGTAGCCTTCACCAAAACACAAATGTACTGGCGGGGGTCATTGAGTCGCGGAGAATCTTAAACCCGCCATGTAAAATATGACGTCATACGCACAACGGCATCTAGTATTGAATTGTGGAGTTATACAATGTAAACGATGAAGTTCACTATTGAAATAGGTTTTACATAATATTATAAATAGTTGTGTTACACAAATTAATTTTATTATTTAGTGTGTCTTTTTATTCGTTTTTAAATAGGTTTTAGTGTGTCTTTTTATTCGTTTTTAAATAGGTTTTTGGAATAAAAAAGTACCTGTAAAGTGTAATGCAACTAGACCTTGTATCGTCAATTGAAGTTTATTATTGTTATAAAGGTACCTATTTTAATATTTTGGCTAACATGTTTTTTCTTCCCAATAGGTCCTTGCGTAGCTGGTGTAGTTGGGCTTAAAATGCCTCGATATTGCCTCTTTGGCGATACCGTCAATACTGCGTCCAGAATGGAGTCTAACGGAGAAGCTCTCAAAATCCACGTATCCCCAGTCACCAAGGCACTACTTGATCCGTTTGGGACCTTTAATTTGGAATGCCGAGGAGAAGTAGCTATGAAGGTAATAATGATATTTTAAGAAAAAACTGTAAATGTAAAAATATCCTAAAATCTTTTTTAAAAAAAACGTATTTACGACCTCCCTCCACTCTTTCATTGTCAACCTGCAATCAAAAATGGATGGCAAAATTAATTTGGTCCTGTATTTCGAAAATACAATAAATTCAATCAAAAGATAATTAAAAGGATTGACGAAGCTGCCAATAACCTATTAAATTGTGTATTGTTATTTATTTGAACCGAATGGCCGGGGTCATTGATCCTTTATTATATATTTGAAGATAAATAAAATTACTTGAGGCCATATTTCCAATTGGTTTCTCTAGAAAATACGACGAAATTTAAGTAATCAGCTTGTCGATTAATTTTCAATATCACTTTATCATCACAGTATCTTTATATATAAAAATGGATCGCAAGATGTGTTGGTAAGCGCATAACTCAACAACGCCTAGACCAATTTTGCTAATTCTTTTTTTGTTATGTTTGTTATTGTCAGGAGAAGGTTCTTATCAAAGAAAATATTAGAAAAGTAGAGGGGAAAATAACCCTTTGATAGCGAGAAAGTTGGGCCCGTGCGAAGCGGGGGCGGGCCGCTAGTTGTATATATAATGTATCAAATGCACTTATGTAAAAATTCTATTTTGTTTCAGGGTAAAGGAATTCTAGTCACATATTGGTTGCTAGGTGAAAAAGTAGATCCTAACGCACCAAAAGACAAACCATCATTGGTCAAAACCCAGACACTTTCAACAGAAAGCGGATCGCTATCACATTTGACACCATTTAGACAAAGATTAGAACAAAACTCCCGATCCTCGAGTAGACGCGGATCAGGAATATTTATTCAAAGAACAGACACGAGCAAATTAGAGAGAGAAGTTCAACCATTGTTACAAAACCTAAGTATTCAACGACAGCATTCTGATCCTACGGAACCAGCTTCGAATGGCATCTCAGACAATGGTGACGACGTTGACAAACAAAGTGTCTCAAATTCCATATCACTAAATGTCAATTCGTTGAATCATAATTCAGTTCACTCCAGTCAACCTAGAGTGAAGTTGAAAGACCTACAAAACCAGAACTCAGTCGGGAACCACAAGACGAACAAAATAGGTAATAACAATTGGATTTCCAAATTACCCACAGCGAGCTCATTTGATAACGGCACCAAGAAAGGAGCGGAGCGGTTAAAGGATTACAGTAGTGTTCCATTACTGTCCAAAGCTGATACACCAAACGATTCAATTGTATAGACTCTCTGTGAACTTAGAATGAACTCTAATGAATATATTTCCGCAATACATTTGTGTGAAGACCTCTTTTTGCTTCTCTATCACACTTATTTCGATCATCTAAGTGGATGTTGTATTTGCTCTCACTTGCTCGTTCAAGTATTATGTGTATGTACATTTAGTAAATATAGGAATACATTAATTAATGTTAAAGCAACTCAGCCCCTAATGGTCTGTGTTCCCGAAGCCATTTGTCTCAATTTATTAGGCCATTTCAAGAGATCGTTTAGACTTACATAAACCTTCTTTTCCTTTTAGTCAAAGAAATGAGAGTTACTTATTGAACGTGAACTAATTTTAATGTTAACCAATAAATATAACGAATGGGTTATGTAAGATAAATAAACTTAGGCTAATAATTGTAACATTTCAAATAATTTATGAGAGACAAAGAATATTGAAATATGTAATGTTTCTGCAATAAAAGGATGTTGCTTGATTGGTATCATTTATATAAAGATGCAATCGAATAATAGCAGAGTTGATTTTATATGGTTTAATTAAATTAAAAGATTCTTCTCTTTTTGAAAAAGAAATGTATTTTTATAGCAAATGTTACCAATATAGCAATGGTTAAAATACAAAAATATACGTGTATAATTTCAATAATAAATAGGTTACTTGGTGTTTTAATACTTAAGGCAGGAGTAACCATTGACTTTTAGTGCTGTGTCAAAAAATTTGTGACTAGTGCAAGAGCGAAGTCAGGCCGCTCTTGCTTCTTTTTGCTATAAATGTACCTTAGCTTAATAGCGTACTTAATTACTTAACTTACATTCCCAATGAAGAGCTTAAATGTCTATCCTGCCATGGAATATTGCTTTTCGAAAAATATTTCGGCATAGGATACTATACACATTGGGCAAGCTTTTAACAAAGAAACATATTTTCGATATCACAGTATTCATTTAATTTTCAATCTGTTTAAATCCAGAAGTCAAACTTACTTCTGAACTAGATAAAGAAAAAAAACATCTCAAAAAGGATTCTTATTTTAACTTAACGAGACGCGTACTGGTCCTATACGTTTAAAAAAATGGATTATGATCAATCACTGTTTAATGAAACACATCCTTAATCTAATGTACATAGTGACTATTCAACAATGATGAGTAATACCCAAAATAATCCGTTCGTCTGTACTTCAGTGAAACTTAAAGAGCTGGTTTCAAAATGTAGATAAAAATGGAGAAGAACGAGCAAAAATCTCCATTGTTACTCTGTAAAGATGTACTAAAATTTTACTTATACATTCTACCAGTTTAATTTAAATAACATTATTCAACTGTTTCCCGTGTCCATGTCAATCACAGTTTATAATGGAATACATTAATATTGTATTTGCAGTGGGCTCAATGAGCTCGAGCAAACATTTCGTTTAGTATTTTGTTTGCTTATTGATTTTCACTTGCTCTGATATATTTAATCACTTTGAAACGTATGGATATTTAAACTTATTTGAAATAGATAACTACTGTCAGTTTTATAAAATGATTATTGAAATCTTATTTCATTAACGTTATAAGTATGAAAACGTGTTACAATCATTACCTATTAAAAAAAAACAAATCTATTTTTTCTTCTAGACTCTCTATTACGGACTTATTCAAGAAAAATAATGTCTTGCCTAAAAAAAATCAAAAATTGCTCAATGTGTAGTTTTTTTAATTCTTTAAAGTACATGACTAAAGGCATTTTATTTATTACAAGTGATGAGACTAGTGTAAATATATGTACTTAATTGATTATTTATTGTAAATAATTTCTTACTTATAACTATTTTGTGATCTTAGAATGGTATTTATAATTGTAGATGGTTAAATGAGAAAATAAATGTTTCTTAAAAATTATAGCAAATATAATGAGTGAGAATTATCACTGTTGTTTTATTTTTATTTGAAACAGAAAGTGTTGTTTTCAAACCAGCCGATCTCGACACATATGTCGTGGTGGCCCGAAGATTAAGAAGCCCGCTTCTCATGCATGAGGGTGTGTGTTCAAAACCTGGCAAGTACCAATGTGACTTTTTCCGAATTATATGTACTTTCTATGTAGACTACACTGAAATACGGTGAATGTAAACATCGTGAGAAAACTTGGACTTATAATTTCTAATTATAAGTTTGAAATCGCCAATCCGCATTGAGCAAGCGTGGTGATTAATGCTCTAACCTTCTCCGTATGAGAAGACGCCTTTTCTCAGCAGTGGGCACTTATAGGCTGATGATGATCTCGACAGCGGCCATTTATTTTTTGACAAGGGAAGATCATTTCTTTGTAGTTATAGATTTCTTCCATTACGGGTAGAGCGAGAGGGAGTGTAATTTCTTTATAAGATAGACACGTCACTACCTTCCAAATCCACTGCAATTTCTATACGCCAAGATCTACAGTAGATACAAGCAATAAAACACTGAAATACTAAAGTCCAGCGCTGCCCATGGACACGAACGACTGTTTTGGATTCCGCAACGAGTTAAATCGATTCAGTATCAGAGGGACTGTCAGAGTCGGTCTGGCTGGAAACCACCCAGATCCAGATCCGATACGATATTATAGCGCTCGCACCCTAAAAACCGGCTTGACGTCGGCCATTTTTTTTAAATACGTTGCCCCACAATAGGATTTTCTCCTGTGTCGTGGGTGCGGTTACAAACATACAATTGCACATGACACCCAGACCTGGAACAACAATTTTTGGATCACACAAAGAGTTGTTTCGTTCGGGAATCGAACCCGCGACACGTTGCTCGGCAGCCAGTTGCCCAGCCACCGCACCAACCGTGCAGACATGAGGAGGGTATTGGATTCCTTCTGTCGTGGTCTGGCATTGGTTTATAATTATAGTCAATCTGGTAATGGTCGAAGATCGTCGCGCAACCCCCGCGGTGTGAGTCTTGTGGCAGCTGAGACGTGAGGAGGATAAATTCCCTTACCCACTCTGATTTCTTCTTAGCGAGCTTGTCTGCTTTACCTGTCTTCCAGTTTTTTGAGAAATAGCCGTGCATTTTCCTGAAGGCGCGGTGGTCATAATGCACTAACCTAGCACGGTAATAGAGTTTCGCACCGACTCATCGTGCCTCTGTGTGCAGAAGAAACGCGCGGGCGTCTTCGCCTCCATATCTCATGACCCATAGGATGGGATCTCTCCCATCCGAGACGTCGGAAATTCGAATACATATATAAGGTTAGAACTCAATTTCTATTAATCTTTTCTTTTCGTTTTATGACAATGATTTTTGTCAGACTTAGTAATTAGCTTTCCGTTTTTACCCTTTGGATTCGGAACCCTTAAAAACATTATTAATAATTTACTAGCTCATGTTTAGATACTGAACTCCCACACAAACATAAACATGTAAATGTATAAGACGTTAATACAATTTAGCAACATTTATACGAGTCTGGATTGAATTGCTTTCATTTGTCTAACGAGTGCCTTCGCCCTAAATATCTGCTAAAGGATGGCTCTTAAATCAACTATCTGTAACACCACATAGAACCTTGAGTGTAGAGCTTTAGGGTTGTAAATGCTTTGGTTGTAATCTCTACTGTAATTGGCGAATATTATAATAATCTCCTATTTCTGTTCCTAACTATTCGTATTGTTTTGCAATGAGATGGGTATTTAGTTTCACAAAATAATTACATGACAGCTTTAAGCCTTTTGAAGATATAAAGGCATTTTCTACGTTGTATAATTCTTTGTTGTCTATCAAAGACCTCTCGTTTTCAAGATATTATTATAATATGATTTTAGCCAAGCCTAAATAACGTATCTTAACTTTACTTTGTATTACAAAACCTTTTTAGATCCTTCAATTACAATTTTATTGCCGTAACATTTTTGTCAGGAAAATATTGTTAAAAAGGATCTATATCAATACCTAAAATAATTACAGTAAAATCATTGTTCTTTTTATATATTTATGGTAGTATTGGATTGGTTTATGGGATAGGTCGATAAACAAACAGACGAATTACCTGATAGTAAACCGTGTAGTAAACAATCGTACAGGTCATGGACAATTGCAACGCCAAAGGAATGTGTGCGTATCTTCTTATAGGTTTTTTTTGATGGGACAAACCTTCCATAACCCGCAAAAACCGCTGTAAGCCATAATTTACAGTAGACGCAACTATAAAACACGGAAACACTGAAATCTGGCGCGTTGATGAATGACTCTTGTAGATCCAAATTTAATTTGAGAGGTTTTCGGGGTTCGATGTTTAAGTATTAGGCGATCGAGAATTTTATATCCTCCCGTCATTCTTGGCCAGTTTTTTTTCTTTTCATTATTTTACAAAACATTTAATATTAAGTAATTCACTCTTAAGAACTAACTATTTGATAAGCATTAAACCAGTTTAATGAGTACACTCTAACAAATAAATCTTGGGGCTTAAAGTTACGGAACCGTCTCAACTGTTTGTGGGTAAATAGAAATCCTGGAGTAATTAGTTTTGCAGTGTGTATATACGACACTATCTCATACACAAAAGAGTAGTCGGAAAGAGATAGCGCATCGGGGCTATTTCTTCGACCTGAAAGTTTATTTGTATACTAGTAGGTAATGAAATAGCTGAACAACTAAATCGGATCTACGCTTATGAGTCTTATAATTATAATTTTATAAATCTTCAAAAGACACAAGTGTGAGAGAGCTAAGTTTAAGTGTGGGAGAGACAATCTGCGGCACGAATGGATCGGCTCGACCGGAGTGATACCACGGCCTCACAGAATACCGGCGTGAAACAACCACAGCGTTGTGTTTCGCCATGTGAGTGAGGTTACCGGAGGCCCAATCTCTCCCCATCCATTCCCAATATCTGAAATTCCTTTAGTGTTGCGGGTGTCCATGGACGGCGCCGATTGCTTACCATCAGGTAATCCGACCTTTGCCGAATTATACCTTAAAAAGATCCTAGTAGGTAATGAGATAGCTGAAAAACTAAATTGGACCTACGCTTTTGAGTCTTATAATGAATTATCTTCAAAAGGCCTACTTTTGGAAAAAAAGATGAGGATATTTGGGATTCTTTACTCACTAAAATGAGCTTGGTGACTTCCATCAGCACTTGTAACCTCTTACAAGAATACATCACTGTTCTCCCATTAGACCTTCTCGGGAGCCGTGTTACAATTACCAAAATATGAGTTTTAATTAAAATAATACACATAGTGCCAAAATTACGACGGGTCCATTAATAACAAATTAATTGAAAATGAAACTGGAACTAGTAGGCAAACCTCACAGAGTACAATGTAAAGAGAGAAATAATGACCGGCGTAAATTGATAAGAGAAATGATATCATTTAGATTACATTGTAACGGTTGAAACAATACCCTGGGTCATATTTTAGATAACGGAATATTAAGGGGTCTAAAATGTGTATACAAACGGGCTAGTTGGTATTTTAGGGCAAATATTAAAGTTTTAATTTATTTGGCACAAATTAAGGTACGCGACATTTAAATGCGTGACCGGAGTGATACAACGGCCTTACAGAAAAGTGGCGTGAAACAACCATACTGTTCTGTTTCGCCATGTGATTGAGATTTCTGGAGGCCCAATTCTTCCCATTCCCCATTCCTATCCCAATCCCTAAATCTTTTATCCAAAAGTTTGGCAACGCACTGTTCTGTGTTACCTTACCGATTGCTTACTATCAAGTCAATTCGTCTGCTCGTTTATCATCCTATCGCTTAAAATACAATTATTATAAGATAATTGAAGAACCCATGCCCATATCGGACACAAAGCTTAATATCTTTGTAACTAAGAATCAAAAAAACAATACATCATTAACAAAAGGTAGGTACTTATTGTACTTATTGTTTGAATAAATTTTCTTTGTAGAAATTAATACATGTTTTCATTTTCTTAAATAGAAAATAATATTAATAACCATTTTATAATCTTGAATTCGGTGCCAAGTAAAACAATAATAGTGTAAAGATATTACCTACTTACGTACCTATCGTCAGCTTGATGATTAGGAGGTGCAAGCATGGAGCAAGACGTTCTTTATCCTCGCTAGGATTTGCCAAAACAACATTTTCGCCACACAGAAACGCTACGTTGCTAGCTAATTTGTTAATCGATTTTATCGGAGCCATCACTTGAGGACCACTTAACCGACTTTCATGCTGATTTTTGAGCGAAACCAGGATATTGGGACCTTGGGGTTAGGTTAGGAAGGAGACCAGTCTGTGGCGCCAACCCTGCCAGCTCAATCTCTGCGATCCCTACAACGCCCACTATTTCTCCGCCTACCAGGCGTAGTCCGGGGTTAAGGTCGCCAACGACACCGCATTCTACTGCCTCTCCCGACCCTCGCTTGTGCATCCGCCGTAGACAGGCACCACCCTTCAAGAGAGCGGCAAGCGAGTTAACGATTCCTAGAGGTGGAGGAAGCACGGACTAGGCTACAACACGAGCGAGATTTGCGAGCATTGGAGATTGAGCACGAACGGAACGTGGTTTTTAGTTCATTAGTAAACGTCGCTTAAGCTTGACTTGACTATTCAACTACATATATCGCAGTAGGAACAACACAGAAGCGCTGTACACTGAGTAGTTCAGCAATTGTCTTGTCCATCATGTCATCCATGTAATCAATGGTTTTTTGTCTGTACGTTCTTAGGCATTCTTCATCTGCGTTTCTTAGGCTTTTTAAGATTCTAACTTTATTTTTACATAATGTGAACCCTTTGGGCGAAAAAAATGACTTCGTGAAATTATCTAATTCTTGCCTCTTTTACTGCCCAATTTTAAGTCTTTACTAACTGTGAGATTGATTCTTTAGTCTCGTGTGTGACACACGAATTTTAATTCAGAATAAGAATAATTTTATTGCTTATTCTTAACTAATTTACTTAAAATTACATACAATGTTTTGATTCTTGAAACTCAGACCAAGATGCCCTGTGTCGTGAGTTTAAGCCTCGTTTGTTTTTAAAGGAAACGTTGCCCCACGCTAAGATTTTCTCCAGTGTCGTGGGTGCGTTTACAAACTTACAAATTCACACACATGTGGTTTATGTCAGACCCGAAACAACAATTTGTGGATCACACAACGTGTTGTTCCGAGCGGGACCCAACACATTGCACAGCAGCCAGTTGCCCAGCAACTGCGCCAACACTGCAGTCAGTTACGATATCCGTTTTCATAGTATAGTGAATATTATATTTAATTTTAACAGTGATTTGTTATCGATTTATAATGAAGAGATTAATTGTTATCGTTGGATTTTGGCCAGTTGAAATAAGACTTGTCTTATATCCAGCAGTTGACGTGACTTATAAACGCTGTTATTAGAGATACTAATTACCTAGGTATATAAAAATAATAAAATATGTATTTACAGGCATTTCTTCAAATGATTCCAATTGTCATCGCTGTTTAAATTGGTATTGGCGCCTCTCCCAGGTGTGGTTTATTGTTCGCAGCCCACAATACTCGTAAATAATGCATTTTATAATTTATTTGATATGCAGTGATTACCTCTAACACAGAATAAATACTAAGAGTATCTCATCAGACAATCTCAAAAATCAGGTGCTAAATGAAATTCGACCATATTGTTTCAATAACTACAACGTTTTGCATTCGTTTCGTTGTGTATATTGACGATCACGATCGAGGCGGATGCGGACACTGAAAAAGCTGCTTGTTTACGCATTTGTATAGAATAAACACTATAACGATTCGTTACTTACGTTAAGGTTTCGTTATGAAATGTAACATTTTCTATCAAATTGCGATAACAACGTCGATCGACCACATGGCTTAATGCATCTTATGTCAAATTCATACATTTTAATATTTTGTAACTTCGTAATTGTTTTAAAATCGTTACTTTGAATAAGCCCTTCGGTCGCTAATATTAATAAAATAAATTTATATTGATAAGTATAATTAATATTGAGGTACTGACTATGTCATCATAGTACGTAATATATAAATAATGTCCTGTTGAATAATACGTCTTCGACCCGAACT